AAGCAATCAACAGTCTTGCTCACAAAGGCTCTAAATGAAACTCGAGTTGAGTATATTTGCAATAAGCTGGACATTATCTATATCTATGCTCCAGCTGGAGGAGGATTGTTTGTTTGGTACAAAGATTGATAACACATGGATTAGTAATGCAAGGATTAGTAATTTAGGGTTTATTTTTATAAAGTGTTTGGTTAATTGTTTCCCACGTAATTTTGTGTTTGGATTAAAAGTCTACAAAAAGTTTCTTTCCAATTATACCCTTGAATTATTATGTGATTTTCTATTTTATATAATTGGGGTAAGGTAGATATAATTGCTGGACAATTTTTTTTTATTGCCTTCTAGCTACCTAGGAGAAGAACAATTTTGTTGTTATGTTTGCTATTTTCTAACTTGAATTATTTAAGGGTAAATAATTGTCATTTTAATAAATTGATCACTCACAAAACATCAATTTTTCATTTAAAAAAGATAGATCATCTACTTTTAAATCGAATAGATGGTAAACGATAATAAAATCGAATAAACAATCTACATTTACACATAAAAATTGCAAGTTGTAGTTTTAATATGTATGTAATTTTATAAATTGTTTAAAATACAAATGATTAGAAAATCACATATATATCAACAAATAATACATTCAATTGAGATCACAAACGTCATGTGGTAATATATTTAACTTTCAATTAGTAAATGTTAAACAACTCACATTTCAAATTTGTATTGATTTGTACTCGATGTGTTTAGCAACAAACAACTTTCTCTAAATAATAAAAATTGTAAGCTAATTTATTCAAATATTGTATTGATTTGTACTCGATTTGTTTAGCAACAAACAACTTTCTCTAAATAATAAAATTTGTAACCTAATTTATTCAAATAAATTTACTAGTACAAATATAAAACATAAAATCGAGAAAATAAATATAATAATTATAAGGATTTGATGGATATTTTTGTCTCTACATAGATCAATCTCATGGTATTAAATCATATGTATTACTACTAATATTACTAAATGGAAGGCATATAACCAAAATTCTTACCAAATATAACACTAAATAATACCATACATAATACATGAACTATTTCTCTTAATTCTTCCTACCAAACGACAAAGAATAAATAGTCATATTCCTTATAATATACATAGACAACTTAATTATAGGGATTGATAACAAATTTGTTTCCCTTAACTTAGAGTACATGTATATATTGATTATTCTCCTTATGTCATCGATTACATTAAGTTATAGACAGATTTAGAAGGGTACGGTATGGTCCAGTGATCAATGAAATTGATTCATCTGAGTGTAACTAGTTTCTATTACCGATGATGTTTACTAAAAAAGTAGCATGGAAGCTGCCATGTTAGATTTTTAATGATAGATAAGTATGGAAAGGGTAGTGTTATCAAAAGAGAAAAAAAACGTTTACTTTAATGTAAAGAGACGCAAAAGGAGAAACAATACATATATATGTATAGTCTAAGACTAATAATTATAAGCATGAATGATAAATATATAATCTAAGAAATTGATCCTTTTTTAACAATGAAGTGAGATATAAATAGTTTAGTGCCGCCTCTTCAAAAGTATATTTTAGCACCTTGATGAAGACACATTAAGCGAGACAAAGTGTTCAACACGTTTGAGCCTCACTTCAAGACTTAAGCACGGTATAGAGGTAGCAACGCGCTATTCCTCTATACTTTGTGAATCAGTGTGTTGTCATGCGGAAAGCTCAACTTGGAACAAATTGTACAAGTGAAACTGTGTTTAAACATGAACTCTACTTGAAAAAAAGTAGAAATTTTGTGAATGAAACTTGACCTACAGTTTCACGCAACTAACTGAAAAATGATGGAAAAAATCAAAGTGGTGAAGACAACTGAACCGAAAATATCAGAGAGAGACTTGAAGGGAATATAATTAAACACAAAAGGGCTCAATGTTGATTTGCAGCTAACCATGAATCTCTTTAATCCAAACACTGCAGTTTTCTTTTCAACTATTAAACCTTTTAAGAAATATTTTCATAAACCAGATTTAGAAACCACAAAGTAAAGGAAACTGAAATTGTTATGAACGAAATTCTGGATACCAACGTCATACAAGTAGTTATAGTGATGACAAGAGCTATTGGGCCGAGAACAAGCAATAGGGCTAGGTTAATTTGAGATCCGGATTGAGTAGTGGGCATGGAAACGACTCCATCAAAAAGGGTAGTGCCATGTGATTCAGGAATTATGCAAATTGTTAAGAAAAGAGTCTGATTCCTCTCATCTCCGTTCTTAGTCTAAGCTTCTCATCTCCTTCTATCCATCTCTGTAATTTCTGATCTTCTTCCCCTTTGATTACATTCTGAGTTTCGTTTTAAGAATCGCTAGTGGTTACTTGCTTGTTGTTTCCATTTCTCAATTGTATTTTGTATTGTCAACGATTATAATAGATATCATCGTTGTGTGGTAACTTGAGTTGTTACAGAAATGCATTGACAGATAAAAACAATTAAAAACATAAGAACGAGTTGTATCAACCATCACAGATTACTGAACTCCACAGATTTGTATGACCAATATAAAAATCTTCGCTGAAAAGTGGGATTTCATCATCATCTTCTTGGGGTTCTGGAACGTAAGGAACCATTGTTTCGAGTATAGAGGCAGCATACGCATCAAGTTCTTTGTGGTAAGTAGCAATGTCATAATCCGGACGAGTTTCCACAGGAACGGAGCATTCTTCTACTTCTTTTGCAGCAGGCACATTTGATTCTTTTGCGAGTAAACTAACAGAGAGAGTTTCTTGATGAAGCACAGGAACAGAACATTCTTCTTGTATTGCAGCAGGCAATTGGGTCACATTTGATTTCATGTTCCCATTCAAAATACTGTTTAACTCATCAGATGGATTTCACAGTTTCTTGACATTGTGATGAACAACTGCCAAGAAAATTCTCTGAATTGGCTTTCCTCCAAGTGCTACATACAGTAAAATCGTCATATCGAATTTTACCATGTAGTCTCAAGTCCTCTAGTATTTTATCACTAACGCGATATTATTTCATAAACCAGGTTGGGGCTTGGTTTTTTCATCAAAAACGGAACCTGTTCTTGAACCCAATTACTGATCTTTTCTTCTCGTAAATTGGTTTACTAATGTCGGATCTTTTCCATGTGCCGCCTCCACCAACAATTGCCCTGTGGAACTTGTTACTCTTCCCTGCGTTTTTCCTCTTTAACTGAGTGAACACATGATGATGATTAGTAGTAGTTAGGGGTGCCAAATGAGCGGGTTGGATTGAAATTGGAGATATTAAAATGGATTGAAATAGAAATCAGGTTGGGTCTTGACCCGCCCAAGTTTAGTTTGGGCTCAAATGGGCTGGGTTTTGACCCACCCAATTTGACCCGATTAATCTCAATAATTTTAACATAGTGATATTTAACTTTTATAATCACAATGCAAATTTTAGCTCAAGATTTTATTTTTTTAAAAGTAGCAATAATTTTTTTATTTTAATGACGAGAATCTCTCTTTTTCCTATTCCTATCCCGATGGGCTGAACTAAAGCTCTTATTTTCTGTTGAGTGATAATTCTAGTATGCCTTGAATGAACCCCTTGAAAGCTTGATGCAAATAAATGAATTTGTATTCTATGTTTCCTAGCTATATATCCCATTTAATTTTGGTCATTAAATAAATAAAAATTTGACGAATAACTAATTGACTGCTTTTCTTTCGGTTAATCCTTTCCCCATTCCTAGTCTATTAATAGCAAAATGGATTTTTCCAATGTGTAAAATCAAAATTTAATTGACTGCTTTTCTTTCGGTTAATCCTTTCCCCATTCCTAGTCTATTAATAGCAAAATGGATTTTTCCAATGTGTAAAATCAAAATTCCAATGGCTTTGGCTGCTCTAACCTTCCCGACCATGATTTTATTTTTTAGGTATTTCACTGCGAAATACGAAATTGTAATGAATAACATGCTCCCACACATATATCAATTTGGGGCATGAATCAAAACCTTGAAACCACCACAATACCAAATTGTGATAATAGACCAATACTGCAGTAAAGGGTGGCAACTTGGACTACACAATTCTCCAGATAAAAAGTAGCATTCGAAGGAATTGTTTTGGTGCAACAAGTAGAAAAGCTCAAGCAAAAGAAGTCGGAAAATGGCATTCAAAGAGCTTGAGAAGAAGGCTTACTGAGCTTTGATTGTTGAAGTTCAAGTATGACACTTTTTCTGTACCTAAAACCTCTACTAGCCCAAATGTAAGAACCCTGGGATCATGGTTGAGAGAGGAGCAAAGGCTGAGGATGACAAGGCCAAAGTATGACAAATTAGACAGTGATAACAACACGGGTGATGACATTGAATAATCTCCAGATTCTACTCACTCGGTATCTATACTGGTGAGAGGCAATAGGTACCTGGTGGAATAGTCGAGGTACACACAAGTCACCACTAGTATAAAAGAATAACCTAGCTGACAGAAATCACTAATGTGTGGACACATGCATTTGAGTTGATACATAATAATCAAGCTAAAGATAAGGATGAGGTGCACAATATCTTACCTTGAGAGACACTGAAACAGAGTGGCTTCACTGTGATCCAGGCAGCCACAATAGAAGGAAGAGTTAGTTTTGACTTGATGTATATATAGAATTCATCAAAAACCTGGTAATGCAGATATTCTGAAGAGTGAATATCAAAGGTAAAACCTTTCTGACAGAGTACGGTTGATAAAAGTGTGACTGCGCTTTGATTAATTTTGTGCAAGACAAGCTACTAGGGTTTGTCATCAGAGGATGTTATTAGTTTAGAAGAGATTTAGCTTCCACACTGGTTATAAATAATAATGAACAGAAATAATGGCAGATTTCATCCGAATGCATGATGAGTGTACTCAATTTTTTAACAAAATGCTCCCTCGTGCAGCAATTTTCAACTCCTGCCAAAATTTAATCTCACAGTTGCCAAATTCTGAAATATATTCTTACTCCTAGTTGTTAAAAAGGAGAAATAATGTGGTCTATACATGAAGCTTCCAGCTCTGTAAAAACCAATAAATGACTACTTGAGATAGGATATGGTTGCTTACTTGAATATAACAAAATTAGGAGAACTTAATTTTTAAATTACGGAGGACCAGACAATTTGCCAGTCAACCAGGTCAGCCGCTTCCCAACGTTGAGAGATAAGAAAATCTCCCTAGCTGCATGATTGTTGAAGAGATCCAAAGTAGCATAATAAACTTGGTCATTGACACCTTCCAATTTATCCAACGCTCTAATACAGTCGGTTATGGTGAACTTGTCACTGCACTTCTCAACAACAGAAGCTCTAAGTCTTGAAGCAGCAGCCATCTCGGATATAGCTCTTGCAATAGCACCATCAACCCCCTTACGCCTTTTCTTTCGACCTGTATCAGTAGGTGAGCTCACAGATTGAATAATTTCTTGTTCATTGGAATCAGGACCTTCTTCAGACTCTGAATATGACAACTCTTCCTGGGACAGTGCTGGAGGTTGATAATGAGATGATGAACCGGGGAGACGGTCCTTGTGCATAGAAGATCCATTATCTGTCCCTCTACTTCCAGAATCTGCAAATATCACGCTCAGTCCCTTGTAAAATGGGCAGCCTGTGCTCCTTATGGTCTCCACATCTGGATGTTCCTGATTAGTACATGTCAAGGGGGGTTTTGTGATGGATGATTTCTATAAGAACAATATAAAGACCTTGGCATGAAAAACTTAGATATGGTAAACTGCAATCCGTCAATAAATCACTTTTGTGATCCATCAATGAATTACTTAGGCATTGAAAAAGGACGTTTCGTTCACAAGAATCTTCTGGAATTAGGAGTTATAAGAAAATAAAAAGGAAACCAGAGTTCAACTTGCAAACAGAAAAGTGTGTCCTAGCAGCTAAAGTATTTCTTTTCAGAACAGAAAATGTGGGAACACACCTTCATATACCGATCCCAAGCTTCATCTGTTGCTGTCACTAAACCTGTAGTTTCATCCCATTTGAAATCAGTATGATCAAGTAGCAATTTTATAGTAGCAAAAAGCTTTCTTAGTGCAGCATATCGATACTTCAATTGCTCCCTCTCCCATGTAAGACCGGTTCTTTTATGAAACTCATCACAAATACATTTCCAACCTTTCTTGCTAAAAGACTTGTTTTGTTTATTCCCTCCTTGAACTTCGTCTACCATTAACCCCACCAATATTATAGTAAGAGATGTGGTCCACTTAGCTCTACACTGGGATTCTCGCTGCTGCACAGTTACCTGTGTTTTCAAACGAGCCGACCTCCCAGCCATCTATTTGATTGAACAAAAGTACAATTATTAATTACAGCAGTATTGCGCCTTACCATGACAAGCAAGAACAACTCAGAGATAACAGAACTTCAAGCTTGAAAACTTTTGTTTTTCATCTCAAAGAAGGCATTCAAACATCCAAAGTAATCTTCAAAGATGAATACATGTATCACCAAAGACACTTGCATTGAGAATTTAGTATTTACGTAAAGATTAAGGCGTTATCCAACATGAAGCTTTTATCAAAAGGAGAAACGGTATCCTCTAGTTAACAAGACGTTATGTACCAAACACTAAAGAATACCCTCTTCTCTTATGTACCAAACACTAAAGAATATACCCTCTTCTTCCATTTCCTTAAAAGTTTCAATTTTTCATGCATACACAGATGCAAATGAACCAATTCGCCTTCGACCTATCACAACAATTAGCAATTTCAGTGAACCTTTTACCCGGAAACTATAACTCAATACTAGAAAACAGCAATTTCACATTTGTTAACTCACAAACACCAAAGTATATAATTTTTTTCCACAAAGGAACAAATACATAAAGGTCTATTGGCACTCAAGGTATAACACAGTAGTCAATAGAGTGATTTCAGAAGTTCAAATCGCAACAGATACAAAAACATTAGGTGATTCCTTTCCATCTGTCATACAGGTATCCCATTAAATTAGTAGAACAGACCAACATTGGACTTGAAAGAATTAAAGTTTAGTGATGACAACTTCATTGTGGCCACTTGGATACATGGTTCAAATCTCGTCTGACCACTAATCACGCGCCAAAAGTTAATCCAATTCGATTATAAGCTTGATAAAATTCTAAAATTTCCACTTTATACAATTCATAGTAATCAAATAGGTGAAAAAGACGGCCCTAGAAATTACGAAACAGAAGAGAAATTATGTGATCTTTTTTATATGAACAATGCAGACGAATAAATAATAATAAAAATATACATCGAACAGAGAGAATTTACCTCTGAGCAAACTGCTGCTGTAAAAACTGACCTACTTTCGTTACAGTAAACAACTGGATTTTCCCCTAATTCACAATTTTGGCCATCCAAACACGGCATAGCCCTTTTTCTCCTTGTGCGTACGAGATCAAGAGAATATATTTTATAGAAAACCCAAAATCTTCTATCAATTTGCACTTACACCCCCTAACCTTTGACTGTAATGACAAATATGCCGAGGTTAATTTTTTATTATTTATTTCGGCATGATGTTCAATACCCACATTGAGGGGCTAAAGCCTACCTAACAAAGATGACTCCCTGCCAAGGGAAATTTGAATTCAAGACTTTTGGTTAAGAATGAAGGAGTCAGGGGCGGCTCTACAGCTTTGCAAAAAAAGCATGCCCCAAAATTTGATGGGCCTCATTTCTAAAAAAATAAAATAAGTTGTAAGTATTTTTTTTTAAAAAAATATCAAATATTATTTGTAGAAAATATTTTTTTTTTTATAAAACAGCAAAGAAGTAATAAAAGTTTGACAAATTATTAATACTCTGTCTCAAAGATTAAATAATTGACTATAATAAACTTCATAAAAATATATATTCAAATTTAAGGCCTTCATTCGAATTTGTCTTTAGGCCACCGATTTATTAAAGTCGCCCCTGGAAGGAGCATTTACCACTCCGCCACAACTCTTGTTGGTGGCTGAGATTACTCTTTACTCTTTCCAATCGAATTTTATCTTCTATAGTTTGAATTTATCTTTTAATTTGTGAAGAAAAAATATAAGTACTATATTTGATATTTAGTTAAATGTAAAATATGCACAAAGGTTTTATTCTTGAAGTGTTTGATTTGTTTTATTTCTACTAGTCGTTTTCCGGCTTAACTTTAACATTTGTCACGTGGGACTAAGTAGATAAACAAAATGTCCATTTTTTCTGTTATATGTAACCGTGCAATATTCTGAAACATGTACCTGAGCAAAGAAATACCTACGAAAATATTTTGAAAATTCAAATTTAGATATTCAAAATTACTACAAATTATAATTTTTCTTATATTAATATGATTAAAAATATAGATGCTGGTCAAAATTTATAGCATTTGGCTCTAAAAAGAAATTTGTGACAAGTAAAAAGGTAAGGAGGAAGTGTACAATTATATGCTCTTATTACTTTGACTTAGAAAGGTTAACCACTCAAAATTTGTAACTAACAAAAAGGAGACTTGGGAAACAAGCCACTTAATAAAGGAATAACAGTATTTATAAATGAAGATTAACTACTTTGTTCTTATAATTGTGGTATTTGAACTAGTTTGTGAGCTAAATAACTTTGTCCACCAAGACGGGGTAAAATGATTTTTTTTTAAAAACCTAGTATTTTGTCTCTACTGTAATTTGTCCATCCTCTCCTATTATTTTCAAGCGATGCATTAACCGCGAGATCACATCCCGAAAAAGAGAAGGGAGGCATGCCTGGTTTATATAGTACCCATTTGGCAAGGTTCAGCAGGCTGTAAAAAGGTGGGCAGACAAAAGTAACATGATATATCTACAAACAATAGAAACTTAAACGCTCTCCACAACTTGTAGCAAACATGCCTGCAACCAAATTCACTATTTTAACCAACCATTTCAAATCAACAAATTCAAAAAAATAACACAACTTTTGGCCTTCTTCCTATAAATAGCCTTTGCCATTCTTATGTACTTGGCATAAAGAATCAATGTCTTATTTTGTACCATGTTGAGCTCACATGCCCTGAGGCAAGTCAAACAAGCAGTTGAGCAGGCCACGAAGAAAGACAAAACAGTGCCTGCAGCACTTCCAAGGATGCATTTCCATGATAGTGCCATCCGAGTACACAACCACAAACCTTATTCAATTATAAAAATCCCATAATGGTTAAACTTTTTCACAATTCCCCCTCCCGTTGCTTTTTCTTTTTACGATTTCATCCCCCTATTACCTTCTTGACGGGTTGTGATGCTTTGGTTTTGCTGAACTCCAAGGGAAAAACTTCGCAGAAAAAGATGGTTCTCCTAATGTTTCTTTGCATGCATCCTATGTCATTGATAATGCAAAGAAAGCAGTTGAAGCTCTTTGCCCCAGCATAGTCTCATGCACATATACTTCAGCCTTTGCTGCGACAGATGCACTGGTGATGATAAATTTCCCCCCATGATAAGCAGACAGAATACATATAAAGAGGACAGCAATGCAGTAAATCAGTTCCTTCTAACATTAATTACTCTAGAATGCCCAAAAAATAGATAAATGGTATGACAATTGACAAAGTCATACACATTATACAATGGTCCTATCAATTAGTGATATCGCGCATTAAAGTTATTCCTTATTTTTTGACATGGTATTACCAAAACAGGTAAATACAATCAATGTTATATTCTACCAGCTTAATAAAGTTGATTTGCTCTGGTGGGCCTTAGTGAATATGCCTGAAAAAGAGAAGATGGTTGAATATCAAAAGCTAGTGAAACAGAACAGCTGCCAAGTCCAGCATTGAACAAATCGACTTCAACAAAGTTTCTCTCAGAGGGGTCTATCAATTGAAGACTTGATGGCTCTCTCGGGTGAATATGACAAAGCTCCAAATCTCACATGGTCTACTCTATCTCTAGAGTCTAGGAGTTTTTTTCCCATTGCTCATCATGCAATAAATGGATACACAACTTCAATACCACCTATGACATTGACATTACATTACTCCCAGCCTTTGCAGCACTCTTGAAGAGCATATATTCACTGAAACATGGGAAGACCCATAGATCCATCATCAACCACCTTTATAATAATATATAACAAGCTAATTCTCCGGTGGAAGAGCTTGTTTTATTCAGAACAAGCTTTATTCAAGTACTCCAAAACTAAAGATATGGTTAATGATTTTGCTAGCTCAAAAGCAGATTTCTCCAAAGTTTTTTCCAATTCTATGATCAAAGATGAGCAGCCTTACAGGAGGTGACATGGTTAAAAAAATTGCATGACAGTTAACTGATTAACTCAAAGTTAATTCTACTTTTATCTATCATTCCCTGTATTATCATAGTTCATTATATTGAATGCAATAATTAGAGGAAATAATGGCTCTTTTCATAAGACCTTGTTGCACTAGTCACTTCTATTTAGTTGATCACAAGTTATTGCATAGAAACCTGAACTATTACAAATTATGGTATCATTTAAAAAGTAAAAAATAAGAGGACAGCAACAAAGATTTTTAAAAAAGCTATATATTTGACAAGTAGTGGATCACTGACTTACAGTGGAGGAAGTAAAATACGTCAGCAGAACCTAATATTTGGCACCATCACGCTTGAATTCAGTTACATCAGTTTTTTCTCGTCTCCGTTAGCTGTGTCCAAAACAATCTCAGCCAATTGAATGTTACCACTCAAACTAGACGTCTTGTAAGATGGCATGAATGAGAACCCATCAAGAAGCTTAACACACTTCAGGCCCCATTTCACCATCAAAAATCCAATTAGGTGATGCCCACTACACATGGTTTAAATCAATTAGAGGAAACATCTCCCTCAGAAGTTGGATCATCTATACCTCTGAATGAGCTAAGTACACAAGAAAAGAATCCTTAGCTGAACCTAAAGCAAGAAAAGAATATAGAAATGCACCTTCTGTTGTGATATGTAGTAATAAAAACGGATGATGGACTACTCTGGAGTAAAAATGCCACAGTTGCAAAAAGATCATCAAAGGCTTGGTAACCATGCAAGATAGACATTTCAACTTCAGTAGACAGGTCCAGAGAAGAAGGAGAGAACAAGATAAATAAAGATAATCCTACCACAACTGTCATATAGGACATCAGCTCCAAGGATAATGTTTGGGCACAGACAGAAGGTTTGTGTACCCCACACACCCCATGTAAGTCCGTGTATCTAGAAGAAAAAATTGAATAAAATACTTCAATAACAGCATGGGCAATGTGAAAATGAAAGACCTCAAATAGATATCTTGCACAAAATAAAGGCATGAAAGAAGATCTTCATAACACCTACGGAGGAGACACGCATAAAAACTATCACTGTTCCAAGGCATTCTGTATGCTCTTAGATACTCAAGTAAAATGGACACAGTTTACCCCTTCTACACAAAATGCATCATGTGGAATGAGAAGTTGCATATATAGAAAACAAAAGCATGCAGGTTACCTTGCATTTGATATCATTTAAGTCACACTGTCTTCTCATATGAGTGAGCACCTGTATATCAACAGAAAAACAGTTCTTGTAAAACTGAAGTAAGTATCTTGGTGCATATATGGGAGTTCAAGGTGCTGACAAATAAATTCTTCAAAATGTTTGAGACATTCTTACTCAGGATCGGTACTTTCTAGCCTACCTACTAGCATCAATTGTTTAGTAATTCAATGACATCAATCACTACTGCAACTTCAGATTGTTGATCACTAATACTGAAGCAACATGAGTGTGTGAGAATAGGGTCAATGGCAGCTCTATTTCATATAAAGCATCCCCAGGACAAATTCTACAAGTTAAAACCCAGAACAGTCCAACAGTTTCTGTAACCATATTACTTTGATTACCAATACTGTTGTGGGGCACACCAGATTTTTCATGACAACAAAGGCCTCAAAATACACCAAAACACTTTACACTCCAAGGTGATTAAGATAGAGGAGAAAAGGCAAAGGGCTTCTCCTTTACCAATAATTCCTAATACTGCATTCCTGTTGTGCGATGTTATATGGCCAGTTCTTGAACCCAATTTAGATTACCAGTAATATAGATATGTAACACATCCATAGTTTATTAACGGGGTTAAAACACTGTTTCAAGGGCTATGATCAAATAATGAAGTCTCAATTCAGTGTCTACTGAAAAACTAGTAACAAAATCAGACCTCTGATCTGTTTGAATCGTCAGTCAGCGTCACATCTGCACCCACTTTTGCAGCAACCAGCCCAGGCAACGAGGTCCCTGCCCCAAGCTGTAAACCATGATGAATAAGAAGTAGATAAAACACTAATCAAACTAAGACTAAAACACAGTACGCAAAATAGGCAACAAACACTGCTAGGCTTCAACATCAATTTGCAACGAAGTCATAAAATTTTCAAT